TGGTATGTATGCAAATACCCCAATGAAATAAATGGTTGAATCCTTGGTCTGATCCTCTATAATTACCAAAAATTAACAGCAAAAGCAAAAAGCATAGCAAAAAGCAAGAGTTCAAATGAACAAATAATAACCTACAAACAAAAATCAGAAAGACAAGATTTTTTTCTAAAAGAGCACACATAATAAACTAAATGTTAACAATAACATACAACTCAACTAAGCACTAAACCCCTCAGAGAAACACATATTTCAAATATTGACTGAACAAAATTGTTGCATCCCCATCCTAATAATCAAAATTTAGGCCTTTATCGCCTTAAAATCATAATCTGGAGTGTCAAATATCCACTCATCAAAATTCACCAACAGATTTAAGCATGAAAACTGGAGTTTGATTTATATAATCATCTGAAATAAAAAGTTTCAGAATTCAATCAACACCTAAAACTTTTTAAACCTTCATAACCAAAAATCTTCAAGGAATTCAGTGACAAACAGAAACAGAATTTTGGAAGATACTCAATCAGAAGTTCACCTTTCAAGCATGGAGAGCACTAAAGAACTGTTCCTTGCAGCTGCTACCGGTCTACCTGTTGCAGGTCACCAAGAACCAGCATAAATAATTGAGATAACATTTCAATTGTAAGTAAATAAAATTAAAAACTAGGAATATTTACATGCATACCTCTCAATTCCTATGTATTTACATATCTAACATCTATAATTCAATTTTTGCATGCAACCAGCTTACCTATGCATGAAAAAGGTGTATTTAACCCTTTAAAAGTTAAAATGGTGGTATGTTGATGTGATATGAAAAATTTGGGTTTGCTAAATTTAAAAAAACAAAGTTTAGTTGTTTGATATGTAATACATAGGAATTGGGTGGTATGTATGTAAATACCCCTAAAATCTAATGCATCTGGTTACCAAACATATGAACAGAAGTAATCAAATGAATATGCATATTTTATTAAATAAAATACGCTGTTTAATTAGAGATTTAGGAGGGATATTCAACCAATTAATTGATTATTTAGCAATAAATTAAGAGGTGTACAATTGTAAGTTCTTTAAATTTTGTCTGGGGTGGTGCTTAATGACAAACATCGTAACAAGGTAAAGTGCATGTGCAAGTAAGGAGGTCATATAAAGACCATAAGAAAATTTACATACCTAGCACAGAATTCTTACATATTTACATATCTCACACCTATACTTTCATATTTACATATATATATATAGCACATCGCTGCTTTAAACCTATGAAAGGGTGCATTTCACTTCTTAAAAGTTGTAATTGTGCTATTTTTTTATGTGATATCAAAGATTTGAGTGTTATGTGTGCAAATATGAAAATTTTTGTATGAGATGTACAAATACATAAGAATTGTGTGCAGTATGTAAATGCCCCTAAAAAATCACTCTTAGTAAATTTTAAAAAGGGAAATATGCTTTTTTATGCATCGGTCTACAACATCAAAGTGATATACATATGAATATGAAAGTTTTGGTGTTAGATATGTACATACAGAAGAATTTTGTGGCATGAATGTAAATTACCCAAAAAGAACTTATATACTAAGAAAAATGCAAATGAAACAATATATATATAAATGTTTGCATATGCATAATGAAAGATTGAATCACTATCTTATAATACTAGCTAAGAACACTAAAACATATGTACATTAATAACTTTTACATACCACCTAATAAAAATAGATTTATCAGCGACAGTCCACTGAGCCGATTGGGGCGCATCAGCCAACTATGAGTTAGGAGTATGCATAAACAATGCTCCATAGATGAATGTATTAAACTATATACAAAAGTACAAATTATGATAAACTAACTGCCCACACAAGCTCTAAGAAACAAGCAAAATACTATAATTCATTGACTATAGATAATTTAAGTTATTAAATAATTTTTTGGTCATAATTGTTCTTGAAATGCAAAGCCAAAATTTAGAAGATCCATACAACTTAAACAAAATGACTAGCATGCAATTTATTTCTTTTTCAAATGAATAAATATGATTTAAAATTATTAATTACCTACTAAGTTACTTTTATAGCATACTTATTATTCAATCAATATATAGACAGATAATATGGAGTTTAAATGAGTGAGAGATGGAGATTTGAGTACAGTTGACTCGAAATAATAAGTGATATGTATTAATACTCTAAGGATGTGGCCAAAAAAAATTTGGTATATTTATTATGATATTGGAACAAGCAAAACTTATAGATTATTGGCACTTCTAAAATATTGTAAGTTGATTTTCATGAAAGTTTATGATAAATCATTTTGATGATTTTTAATATAACTAGAATAACTAAAAACTCAAATCAGACTGCTTGTTCTAGCCTTAGTATTCAAAGCTTCTAAATCATGACAAAAGAGTTATTTGAGCGAAGTGTTGAATTAAGAGATACTAATTGTGATAAAAAGAACAACTGTGATGATTGATAAAAATTTCAAAAGAGATTTTGGACGTATGCATATCGTTTATTTTAATTCTAAGCAGTAATATCTATTACATCTCACATGGATGGCCGTGAGAAAATAAGAGAGTGAAATACAAAGAAACATAGGGTACCAACAAATTTTATTGTTGCTACTGATGCTTGCTGGCGACAATAGCTCGGAAAGATTATTTAAAAAATCTCTTATAGTTTGTTTTAGCCTTGATATTCCAAACTTCTAGAATAGGTGGTGATAGAATAAAAGATTCATAGACATGAAAATTCACAGGCGTAAAAGACTTGCAGAAAGTTTCTAGTTAGAGAAGAAATCAGTGAAGTCCTATATTGAAAGAGGCAAAAAACTTGATAGGTTCTGCAGGCCTACACCAATCCTTTCATCTTAAGAAAAAATATATAATAAAATAATAAAAACTAAGATGACTGATTTAACTTCATCAATGCAAGTCCACACTCATAAATAGTTAACATCATCATTTGCATGTCAAAAACTATAGCTTTTGAGATTTGCATCAATTATGCTTTGCTTGTAGCTTTCATGAATCATTTAGTTGATATTTATTAAACAGGTCAAGCCATAATCAGTTAGTTTAGTATAGAATATATCATAAATCATCATCAATAAAATTGTCTTTACACATTCTGAGATATCTTTGCTATACATCATCAAAAGTAAACATAATTTCATCTTCAATAATAGTTAAAAAAAGAAGATTTTAAGGGTTGAAAAAAAAAGATAATTGAACAAATATTGTGTTGGATGGATATGAATTTCAATAATAATGATGAAAAGAGAGAATAATTCCAGATGAAGATAAAAGAAAACAAATGCCTATGCCGATAAATTTATCGAAAGAAGAAGCTGATATGCATAGGATAATACCAAGAAGATTCAGTATTAGCACACATAATAAAGAGATATTTGGTTGGAGCCTACATAATTATTGGCCAAAGCCCGTTTGAAAGATTAAATTCAGGTTTGCTAAACATAATAAATTTGTTTTGAAACAAGCTTCCAAATTTCAAATTTCTATATAGAGAAAAAAGGTCTGATTCTGACGAAAATATTCTCCAAACTTGACAACCTGTTCACAATTAGGAGATTAAGAAGTATCAAGCTTCCTGAAACTTCTATCAAGCTTCCTGAAGCAGGTTTCAAAATTGAGGAGTCACTGCATATTTTTCAAAAAAGAAATCATATAATTGGTTTCATAGGTCAACATATAAAAGTTGAAAAGCCACTTAGACACTACCATTAAACTCCTTCAACGTTAGGGCTGTTAATTTGGCTCGTTGTTCACGAACAGCTCGTGTTCGGCTCGTTAAGTAGCTCTTGTTCGGCTCGTTCGTTAAGCTCAAAATATAGAAAATACTTCAAAATCATGAAAGGCTTTCGGCTGCAAGAGCAGCCTCTCCCTCTTCCAATTCTTCTTCTTCCTCTCAAAATTGCAAAAGGCTTTCGGCCGCAATAGCTTAAGATTTGTCGTTTGTGTTCTCTGCTCTCAAAAGTTCTACTTCGGCTTTCTTCCTCTTCCGAGTCATCTCCTTCTCCTCTCAAAATTGCGAAAGGGTTTCGGCGGCAAGAGATTAGGGTTTACTATTTGTGTTTGTCTCTCTTCCTCTTCTGATTCATCTTCCGAGAGCTTAGGGCTCTCTTCCTCTCCCGAGTCATCTCCTTCTCCAATTTCAAGCCGAACTCGAGCCGGGAAAGATTATTCGAGCCGAACACGAACACTCTCTTCACGAGCCATTTCGAACAAGAGTCGAGCTTGAGCTCGTTTACAGCCCTATCGGTTGTTCATATTTTGCTACAATATATTAAAGTGTGCTTTGTTCCCGTTTACTTTAGCATAAGATTCACATTTTTATCATAAATAGCAATTAGAATTGTGCCAGAACCAATGAAAAGAAAACACGTATATAAATTACGACATAACTAACACTACTTAATTTTTAATTGGATGATAACTATGTTTGTTGTTAGAAATAATTTATCTGCAACCTGTCATTTTAGTAGCGCACAAACAGGACGCTGATGCTGTCACATGAACCGATGAAAAGGGAACACGTATATAAATTACGATATAACTAACACTAAATTTTTAATTGGATGATAACTATGTTTGCTGTTTGAAACAATTTATCTGCAACCTGTCATTTTAGTAGCGCACAAACGTGACACTGATGCTGTCACATTCCATCTTCTCCCCTCCACCGATAAACTTGAGATTACGTGGCGGCCGCTAGCTGAAGATTTGATCTCCGCTCAAAATCGCGACAGAGTTTCGGCGGCGAGAGAGCTTAGGGTGTATGCCGCGAGACCTTAGGGTTTCTCGATTGTGTTCATTGCTCTCCTTCTCCATTCCAAATCGTGAAAAGGTTTCGGCGGCGAGAGGTTAGGCTTTCCCCTTCCTCCTCCAATTCCCCCCTCCCGATTCCTCCAATTTCAAGCTGAACTCGAGCCGGAAAAGATTATTCAAGCCGAACACGAACACTCCGTTCACGAGCCATTTCGAACACGAGCCGATTTCGAACACGAGCAAGTATCGAACGAGCCGACCCTGAGCTCGGCTCGCTTACAGCCCTACCTTTAAATCCAGTACTTTCATTCCTCATGTTGTAGCCCTAAAAACCCGCCATTACTCAGATGAAGTATCCTCACAAACATAAATTAGTTTATATTTATGAAATAAAAATCAAATTTTAGAAAAAAAGTTTACAAAAGTTATTCACTTAAATAATTAAAGCCATTTATGATTTGCAACTATCATTCTTTTGCTTCTCATATGAAGATCATATTTTGGACTGAAAACTAAGACATTAGCAACCATCTTTCTAGGGTTTTAAATGAACCAATCCACTAAACAAACAACTCAAATTCGGCTCGATTAATACTTGATTATGTTTGTTCAAATTAATAAATAAAAAATTTTAACCTTTCGTTAAAATTCAAATGTTAAATGAACCACATTTGATAATCCAACTCGTTTATTAAGTTCACGAAAAGCTCATTTGTTGTTTAAGTAATTTGTTACATACTCTATACATATATGATAAATTATTTAAATAAATTTATTTAATTATATATATTTAATGAT